CTTGTTTTGGGGTTTTTTCCTGATGTATGTGTAAGATAACTATTCATTCTCAAAGTTTTTTCTTTTAAAAATTCTTCGTAATTTGAAAGATAATTTCTTTGCATTCAAGAAATATTCTCTCAAACCACAATCCCATGAAGAAAGGAAAATAAATAGCAGTATGGAGAGGGAAACAGAATTGGAGGGTGCATCTCAAACCAGTGAGAGCAAATGGAAATAAAGTTTTATGTTCTCTGCCAATTTTATCTTTATCATTTCTTTCATTTTAACACCATTCAAATTTTCTGTTAATACCGACCTATAAAGTATTCTTTCCTTGTTAATCGTTTAAAAATTATACTTTAAACTACAGTTAATTAGCTCAGTGCAGATTTCATTTTAACTAATCATACTGCCCAAGCTTAGGCCTAGAGAAAATACAAAACACGAAACTAGAGCTTTTCCTTTCTTGAACATCATCATGCCTTCGCATTACATTGGTTTTTATTTTTGACTGCACCGTGGCTTTGCCTCAGCATTCAGGATCAGAATGAGATTCCTCTTTTTCAAAGCTCTGTTAATGAATCCTGCCTCCCACCAGCAAAAATTAACTTTTCTACCCAGATCAGCATTCCCGTGCCCTGTAACGCTGTATTTCCCTATTTTATAACCAAAAAGGCAACAGTGTAATTGTAATTATTCACACTTAAATAGATGTTGCAAATCTTCTGTGACATATTCCGAAAGCATCGGCTGTATTGTCTCCATCACTTAGAATTTTAGTGGCCATATTGGCACCTGCTCGTGAGTGATGCTCACTACCCAGTACAGGGGAGCAGGGCATGTGTGTTGAGAGATGGTAAATGTTTGATAGCTTACGTCTCCTGAGTACAATACATGGATTTTATAGAGATTTATATCTAAAATATATGTATGGCTTTGGTTCCAGTGTTGGACCAGGTTTGACTAGATGCAACGAGTATAATTTTTCATGTATTTCCAGTGCCAAGAGTACGAAGCAGTGCTTTGCCTTTGTTTATTTGTTTAACTTCAAATCATGGCAGACAATTAC